CAACTTGCCATTGGAGTTACCATGGTAAATTTTACAAGTGGTCAGAGCACTGGTAACTTCTGTGACGACGATGTCATCACATGTTATTTCGTCAAAAAATCAATATCTAAGTAAAGTTTTGGGTTTGTTTTTACACCTGATGTAACTAATATGATGGCAAACAGATATCACAATGCGGACATAATGAAGAAATGCAAATTTCACATGAAATTAGCAAGAATAGATCCTCACAAATTCTCGTGAACTTATAGGCTACATTATGCTAGAATGCATGGAACCGATAAATGTGAACTCTTAAAGAGTTCTTCTCTGACTTAATTATTACAAATGCTAGAGAAAAAAACTACCTTGCTGATATATAAACTGGCAATACCAATGCTAAATGAGTATAGCAATATCTGTGTCTGTCGGCATTTTGACAATTCACTCCAAAGTGCATGGGCAAGAATAAGCTTGAGATATTTCCTTTGACAACAAATGGCGATGAATACAAAAATTGTTTGATCCAATTTTTTGTTTAACAGTGATGGAAAATATATAAATAAAAATCGGTTTGGACTGTCTCTTTGGTTTGAGTTAACAATAAAATATTGATATATCATTGTTTTTATTGGTTCCTATCTATACAGTGAATATATATCTAACATGATGGATATAATCAAATAAATATATTCTTTTTTCTACTTGTGCTTAAATAGTGTTTTAGCTCTGACGATTATTTAAACAATCTCGGTGTGTCTAGTTCTGTTTACATGTTACGTGATTGGCCAAAGGAACCTAAAAGATTATGTATAGTGCTCACTGATTGGTTGAAATGCTTTACCAGAGCCCTCTGTTGGCTACGATTAGAATGAGTCAATTTACGATTGTAACTCAGCTTATCCAAATTACCATTTCTTCATGCATACCGCTTAGCAATGACTGATAAATGCAATGGTAAATGACTGCTGGTAAATGCGTTACGATCATATGTTAGTGAATCCGGCCCCTGGCTGCCATCTGGCGATCTGATACTGTTCCCCCTGGACGTTGAGGGGTGTGCTCATCCCTCTCTGGAAGGGAAAGGGGGACCGATGGGACGGCTGTAACCACCAAGGCATCTCACTTTTCAGTATACCCGGCAAGGTTCTCGCCCACATCTTTCTGAGACATATCAAAGATCACCTACTGAGGCATGAGAGGCCGGAGCAATCCCAATTTACTCCTGGTAAGTCCACAATAGACCGTTTCCTTGTGCTTCATCTCATTGTAGAGCGCCGTCGTTAGTTCGGGCGTGGGCTGCTTGGAGCCTACATCGACCTCAATCAGACGTTCGATATGGTGCATTGGGAATCACTCTGGGAGAACCTAAGACTGAGAGGAATTCCAACAAGGATTATAGGACTATAGAAGGCCAGTATACTGGTACTGAAAGTGCTGTAGTGGTGGGGCCGGTCGAGCTTCTTTCCTGTTAGTTCAGGAGTGAGGAAGGCTGTGTCCTTGCACCAACACTTTTCAATACTTGCA